GGCAGCCTATGGCCACATCACATTGAAACACCGCTTCCCGTAAGATCATCGAAGTTCTAGTTGGATTCCTTAGATTGATTGAAAAAATGTTCCGATAGACTCATTAAAAGGTTTCCTATGATGTTTCATTTTGAAAAGAATTAGATTCGACCATAAGTGGAATATTGTTGCCATGTTTGGGCTGCAAATCTTCAGATTTCTTCTGTTGTGACACCATTTAGGGGCACAAAAAGAAAAAAGGAAAAAAAGAAAGGAAAAAGAGAAAGGAAAGAAAGGAAAAGAGAGGCGAGACTTAAGCTTAAATGATAAAAGAAACCATCCACGACCGAGGACATTGACATTGTTATTTTGATAAGTAGCAAATGGTGAAAGGTTTCATTGCCATTGCAGAAAATTCTAAATGGATAATAAAATCGACTGTGTTGTGGTGGCGGACTTGTGTTATCGGGAATAGATAACAGCCACTTAATGCTGGCGAACATCTGACAAACTACAGACCGGCTAGCTAAACTCCGAGACATTTCGACAATGTTATTTTGATAATGGAAAAAGATGGTGAAAATTCTGACGGCCAGTGTCGGAGGATTGCCTGACAAGGACCAGGTGAATACAGAGCTTTGGATAGATAAGAAAAATTAACTGTGTCAGAGGGGGCAAACAATATTGTCGGGAAAGGATTTAATAGGCCATCTGTTAACCGCACACGAAGCCAACCCTGGGTTAAGTCTTTGCCGTTTTGACAAGACATCTATGGGTGTTAGAATTCGGTTATGATAATAAAACTATGTTATCAGAAATTGGCACCAAGAATGCAAATACGGCTAGGACAATGAAACTGTTTTTTGAGACGGGAATCGGCTGTGTTTCGCTAGACGACTACCCACTTGATAATTGGCATTGATAGATCCCAGGTGACATTGGGAATGAGTGCTGCGAGAAAGGAAAGAAAAGGAAAAGAAAAAGATAATTTTTTTTGAGCAAGATATATTTTTTTTCGTAAAACAAAGCTAGCCGGGTCACACCCACCCGGTTGGACGCCATGGGCCGAATGTCAACGAGGGCCAGGCGGAGGTGATCACGTGACGCAAGGGGGGGGGGGTCGCCGCCGCCCATTTAGAGGATAGGTATGAGAAGTTGCTACGAAGAAGTGGGGAGAACCGTTGACGCCCCTCTGAAGTATGGTGAGATATCCATATGAGAATAAGAGAAGGTGGGGGAGAAGACTTCAAAAATGGAAAGGAGTGGAAAATTCCTGACCAAAAAATAAAAGAAGTGGATATGGATTTAGAATTATCGAGGAACCTCCAACCCCGACAAAGCCCACCCCGGTTTTGGTCGGCGTCCATATAAGCAAAGTCGCAGCGAGCAGAAATCAGTTAAGTTCGGACTCCGGTTTTCCAGAGTTCAGTCTTCAGTGCTCAGTTGAAACAGGCCTCGCAAAGCTGACTTGAAAGATTCGCGCAACTTCCGAACTCATCTTCAATCCAAGAACAATTTATTTTGAAGAGCGACTTAGATCCATACCACCAAAATAAGATTTTCGACTATCGCCTGAAGACACACCAAGAACCAATTTCTTAAAGAACAGACAACTTAAGATGTTAAAACTCACCTAACAAAAACAACGTGTCACAATCCATATAGCGGGTCGGGAGATAGATGCAGTCCTATGTATCCAGCAACCAGATATAAAATATTGTTATCCTTTTTTGATACCTTGAACTTTTGAGTTATCATTTTATTTTTTTTTTATACATATTTGTGTGATAACACCCTCATTTGAACTCAACTTGCATTACGGCCCCAACCACTGATTGATTTCGTCTGCCTAAGATCAATTCACAACGTGGGTAGGCAGACTGGAGATCAACGCAGTTACTTTGGTAACCAGACTTTGGAAGCGAGTTGGGAACGACAAGGCTGATATCGGATCTGACCAGATTCCCATCCGAATCCCCAAAAGGTTAGAACGTCACATTTGGGTGCCACGACCAATACCAAGCCAGTTGATCGTCACAGGACGGGACAACACTACTGACGCAGACAGGTGGACGTCACGTTTGGAGCGGCGACACCTGAACGAAGCAGCTAGGGGCGATCGAAGGCTGTAGAGAGACGTCACAATTGGTGCCGTGACCACAGGAGAGGACCCTGGAACAGCCACTGTCAAAATTAGTACCGTGACAGCAGGAGTTGCTGAAAAAGTTTCGACTAGGACGGCCTCTCAAGGACTGAAATCGAAACAAACTAGAGTAGGAACTAAAGGACTTTGGTTGGCTTTGGCTATACGGTTCCATATACTCTAGTGCAACGACCCGGAACCTGAGAGGAACGAGCGGAAAATCGTCTGTCAGGTAGGACACTTTGTTTGATCTCCCAGATTTCGATTGTTGCTGCTCAGATTGTCTTTCTTTTTAAATGTGTCGGACTATGAATCAGATAGATTAGACAAAGAGGAAGATGGGGTTAGACAGGGATTGCCAGCTGACCTGAGAGGATTATTGGGTGGACCGAGGGTCCCGGCGTTTGACGGCAGTGGGAGCGATTTCAAAAACTGTCTGGCAATCTTGGATAAGAGCCGAGTTATATATGAACTCACAGACCATTGCATTGCTTTTATCCGAAACTCTTGTGTAGATCCTCCCATAAAAACAACAACCTTAATCTCAACTCAAGGGTCTATCGCAATGTTTTCTTTATAAAATTTGCATCACACACCTCATGCATTAACCTTCTACCCCGACTGCAATTTGAACCTTGTATTAGGTAACATTTCGTATAATAAGAAATGTCTACGCATACGCAATTCACAGTTGTGCTATTTGAATTTTCTGATTGTTGTAGAGTGGTTTCACAGTGGAGGCTTGTATTTGTACTAAGTCGGTCCTAAAATAGGTTCGACTTACAAAATGTTAGAAACTTGATATAATAGGTAATGACGCAGAGAAATCTAGTGGTGGTGGCTGATACTTTAGTATCCGACTAACGGTCGTCCGACATCGACTGACTAACCAACTCGCTGAGAGTATTTAGTCACCCCACCTCGTGGGCATCATGTGGCACAAGGCCGGTTTAACGTGGGATCTCCGAGCCAGTGGACTCGGCCAAAAATATGCCCATTGAACCCGTGTAAACGGGTTCAGGGTCGGCTTACCTCCCCGAAAGGGAATCCGCCCTTCGGCTTAGCCTCGTTCGGGTTCCTCCCCGCCCGAAGACAGAAAGTTCAACCGTTCAGCTTGTTGTCCGACTTCAGATTGAACTCGGACCAAATCACTGAGCGACTCCTAGTTATTATAGGTGGGAGAGTCTATTAACTATAGAATAGGTGTGTTCCACTATAAAACTAATGAATCAAAATACTCGTTTAACTTTAATAAAATATTACAATGACATTTATTAATATAAATGAATGCCATTATTTAAAGAAGTAAGAGGGTACAAATAAAAAGATCTAAATTAAAAAGATTTTCCATTTCATTGAAGAAAACGTGAAAAGCATGCGAAAGCTATTGCTCATATTTATTTTATATTTCCTTTTCTTTCTGGCTTTCTTTACAGATTTCTATTATTGAAAACAAACAGCCTCTCTGTTGTATATTTTCCGTCTTTCCATGAGATCAAAAAGGAATACTTCATTATTTATAAAGTAGTGGCAAGTAGTATCCTAAATACTAAGAAACGAATGAGTATGCAGAAGACGACGACTATTGCTACTAATACTGCTACTGGTGATGATGATTAATTAATTAATTAATTAATCTTCAGAATAAAAATTGAAATAGAACCAACAATTTCGTGTTTGGATATAGGTTCAAGTTTCTATTTCATAGATATTTAATTGTAGAAAATTTCGTTAACTAGACCCATTTCCAACATTTAACCGAACAAGCAAAGATCAGAATCATTTTTTCTCTATAGAGAGAGAGAGGTTCCCCTACCATCCGGTTCGGATTCCTCCCCGGTCTTTGGAACGGAAGTCGAGGTTTAACATTTGTTTCGTGTTTAGCATTGAGTTTTCGCTTTCTTCTAAAGTCGAATTCAAATCTATGTTTCTAATACTCTGAACTTTACAATTGATTAAATGCTTTTTTTACTCAATGGGAAGACATAGGTTTGCCTATCGTTAAGTTTATGCTCCCCGACCCAAGACTTTTGAACAAGAATAGAGGCTTATCACTTGTTTCTTTATAGAATTTTTTTTTCAGTCCCTTCGAAAATCTATTTCAACTCTATGCATCTAAGGCTTCCGCCTATAACTCTGATATTTTATTTACTAATATTTTTTTCTTCATTAGGAGTAGAGAGGTTCGTCCATCGTCCAGTTGAGCTTTATCCCTTGTTTTCTGTTTAGGGTTTGGTTTCCGATTTATTCTGAAGGATTTTTCTTTCTCTTTAACTTCCAGTAGCTTCTGCGTCCTGCTGGCATTATCTGCTAGCTTGGAGTGCCACTTACCATATAACTTTCTATTTTGAGTAGCTTTTGGATCCTTTACAGGGTAAACATCACTTTAAAAAGTTTCTTAGCAAGGAAGAAGGATTATCAGCACACTCCTGGGAAGGTTCTGCAAATGTTACCCATGTATGTTTTGTACTCATACTGTTTACTGATATAGTCGAATAGAAGTTGTTTGAAGTGAATTAAGGATAGCGGTAATAATTGACGTTGCAAAAAGGTGTTGAATTTTTATTAGTAGTGTTTTTTTGCTGTTAAGAGCAAAAAGGCGGATAATTTATTGCTTCGTTTATTAAGGCTGTAATATATTAGTAAGTATGATGCATGAGTTCAAGTGAAGTTGAAGCTGAAATTAGACATGAAATTGTATATGAAATTACAATTTGGGAATGGGGGGGGGCTTTGAAGTCTGCTGAAATGTGAAATGAAAGAGGGAAGAAAATTAGAAAAATGGAAGTAATGAAAAATTGAGCCAAGAAAAGAAAATGATAGAAACAAAATTAAAATAAATGGTCTATAGAGGAAAGAAAAGATAAAATGATCAGAGTCAAAGAAAGAAAGAAAGAAAAAAAGAAAGAAGAACAGAAAGAAAACGAAAAAGTAGAAAAGAAAGGAAGAAAGAAAGAAAGAAAGAAGAAAAGAATAAAAAAGAAAGAAAGAAGAAAGGCAAAAGAAAAGAAAGAAAGAAAAAAGAAAGAAAGAAGAAAGGCAAAAGAAAAGAAAGAAAGAAAAAAGAAAGAAAGAAGAAAGGCAAAAGAAAAGTAAGAAAGAAAAAGAAAGAAAGAAGAAAGGTAAAATAATAGAAAGAAAGAAAAAAGAAAAAATGAAAAAGAAAGAAACAAAAGAAAGAAGAAAAGAAAGAAAAAAGAAAGAAAGAAGAAAGGCAAAAGAAAAGAAAGAAAGAAAAAAGAAAGAAAGAAGAAAGGCAAAAGAAAAGAAAGAAAGAAAAAAGAAAGAAAGAAGAAAGGCAAAAGAAAAGAAAGAAAAAGAAAGAAAGAAGAAAGGTAAAAGAATAGAAAGAAAGAAAAAAGAAAGAATGAAAAGAAAGAAAAAAATAAAGAAAGACAGAAGAAAAGAAAAAAAGAAAAAAGAAAGACAGAAGAAAAGAAAGAAAGAAAAAAGAAAGAAGGAAAGAAAGAAAGAAATATTTTTCCTTACATTTCGGTAAATATTTTCCCCGTAGTTGTTCAATTGAGCGTTCTTCACTGATATCTTGACTTTACAAAAAGTAGAGGTGCGATGCTCGATTGCCAGACAAGTTAGAAATTCATTGTTGGATTTACCAGATGTAACCATAAATTAATAGTTTCTTCTCTCACATTTCTCGCTTGTGGAACTCTCTTTTGTTTTCTCTGCTAACCCTTAACGACGATCTCCAAATATTTAAAGCCAATATCAATTATTATCCTTTGATCCCTTCAAAGTTTTTCCTTATTTGCCGAAACTGATTATTTCATTCGCGGTAACCCATTGAATACTTGGGACTTGTATTGCTTTGCTCGGGACGTTATGATTAAAAATTAAAATAAAATGCCAAAACAATGAGAGAAATGATAGCAGAAAAAAATTTGTAAAAAAGAATCAACGAAGAATGGGTGATTTGGGATCAAAATCAATTAGATAAATCTAGAAACGAAAGCGAATTAGGGCAGAAGGAATGACTGTTGTCGATGGAAGTAACGAATTGTTCACAAAGGAATGTGAAAAGTAAGATAAAAACAAACAATCAAGAAAGGACGAAGGATTACTAACGGAATGAAATGCAAAAGATGAAACTCGAAGAAGTGACACTGTTAGAAGAAAAAAAATGGTATCGATTTGAGTAAAAACTAAGATAAATGAGAGTAAGAAAGAATTAAAGAAGAAGACGACATAAACGAAAGAAACATGTAAGAAAAAGAAAAACAAATTTAAAAGAAAGGAAGAAGGAATTTGTGAAAAAAAGACCTAAAAAGAAGAAGTATGGAAAAAAGAAGAAAGAATAGATGAAAATGACGAAAAAAAGGAAGACGTATGAAAGAAAAGGGACAGAGAAAGAAGTAGTGAAGCAGACGTCAAATAAAGAATGGCAATGACAAAGAACAAAGAAAGATAAAACAAAGGAAGAAAGATAATGAAGAAGACGAAATTAGGAAGAAGGATGAATGAAAAAGGACAATGAAAGAATGAATTAGTGAAGAAGACTTAAAAGAAAGAAGAGTAAAGAGAAAGAACAAAGAAAGATAAAAGAAAAGAAGAAATGAAGAAGACGAAATTAGGAAGAAGAGTGAAAGAAAAACGACAAAGAAAGAAAGAAGTATTGAAGAAGACGTAAAAGAAGGAAGGGCAAAGAGAAAGAACTAAGAAAGATAAAAGAAAGAAAGAAAAATACATGAAGACAAAAAGAAAGAAAGGGATTTTCATATGAATACAACATTCTCCCCCACTTGTCTTTTGACAATGTAAATAAATTGCTATATTTTATTTCGGCAAAAGAAAAGGAATGCAGTTTCAAAATAACCTAAATTAAATTTTTCTTTATTTTTTAATGTTCGGTACCAAGACTTTAGGCTCTTTGCTGATACGCTTAGATCGTGTTAGATGATTTGAGGCGAGGACATTTTCGCAGAGTTTGGGCCAGTCACGTTACAGGTTCCTGATTTAGCCCCTCAGTTGAATCACTGGACACTGCAGTGCACCTACTAGTAGGTATTTCTTTCTCTTGAAAAACAATATTCCCCCGACATAAAACTAGGTTACCTGTTAGAGTGTATACAAATTATCCAACTAAATATGCAAAATAATTTACTTAAAAACTAAATATAGCTGTAGCGAGCATGTCCCTACACGTAAATGCAAAAGGGAAACTACTACATTCATTAATGTTAGTAAATAAATACTTATTTCCTTCTCGATTGGAAGCAAGCGGTTCTTTCAGATCTGTATTCAGTCTTTCAAAGGGTTGAGTGGCTTTGATTAATTTGCCTCCTCCTCTCACAAAGCTTAGCTTTTCTACAGTCATTCTCTTTACTTCCACTGTTGAATAGGGTAACTTTCTCGAGCTGATAAACTGCACCATTCTTGATACTACAGGATGACATAGATTATTATGTAAGTCCTTAAGGTCTATATTTACGATAGAAGCGCAATGTCCTTTAGTTAACACATCTGGACACGCGTTTCGATGCCCAGTCGATATTTGATGCCATATTTGTAAGTGGAAAGTTCAATTTGTCAGCGATGAATTCTCTCGTTTCTAGTCTTCGGAGTATTATACCTATCGAAAATGTAGGGAGGAGCTTTTTGGTCCGTGACAAGAAGAAAATATTTACGTTTTAGTTAAGAACTCCATTCCTTGATTCCTTCGTGTTATCTTCTTTTTCTACGGGGGATTGATTTCGTTCAGAGGGGTTTAGAGTTCTAGACCAGAACACAAGACACCTGCCTCCTCTATTTAGCGCCACAGCAAAGCTCACGTAGCTAACATCAGTTTCAATTTTAAGGAGTTTTTCTTCGTCTAGAGTGTGTACTAACAGTTCTTTCTGATCCCATTTTCAAATATTCAAAAGAGTCTTTTATTTTAGAAAGGTAAGGGAAATATAGTGTTGTTATTTAGCGCGTGAATTTTAGCGAATCGTTTGGGGCCCAACGACTATGGTAAACGAACATTCTGTCGATTCTCTTCTAAGCTTTCATATTGCCAGGAGAGGGGCATTCTCGCAGAAATCTCATTCTTTCAGGATCTTGTATAACGGTTCCTTTACTTTACTTCATAGTCCAGAAGTTGTATTTTCGTTACTTTGTAGACACATTTATACATATTTGAGGTTATAACGTATTTTTCAATTAGTTCTTTGAATGTAGCCAAATTAGTGTCTTGTTCAGTTTCATTAATACTGCAATTGGTCACGTCAATTATATACGCGAATATTCTCTTTCGGCATTTCTTTTTTATTAATTCATCCAAAATTCTTTCACACCTAGCCATTCTATTTGTGATCCCAAACGGCATTCTTTTAGAATTATAAAATTTACCACTGTCTTCAAAAGCAGTGTAAGGACGGTTTAATTTACGTAAGGTAACTTGATTATATGCACTTTTTAAGTTTAGAGTACAGAATATACTTTGCTATTTCCGAAACCCTCGTTATAATCTTTGGCAGAGGATAGGAATCTTTTAAGGCAAAAACGATTCATTGTTTGTGAATAAAGTTTTTGTTTTGCTTTCGTTTGTTTTTTTTTTTTTTTTTACGGCATATCAACCTCAATGGGTCATTTAATGCCGACATTTTTTTTTTTGTAATATTTTTGTTTTGTCAAAAATTTATTTCTGTTTTCTCAAAAATGTATAGCTGGTAATATTACTTTTTTCAAAAACGTACAGCTGGTAATATTATTTTTCCAAAACGTATAGCTGATAATAATATTTTTTTCAAAAACGTATAGCTGGTAATATCACTTTTTTTTTCAAAAACGTATGGCTGGTAATATTATTTTTTTCCAAAATGTATAGCTGGTAATATTATTTTTTTTCAAAAATGTATAGTTGGTAATATTATTTTTTCAAAAAACGTATATCTGGTAATATTATTTTTCAAAAACGTATAGCCGGCAACATTATTCTTTCAAAAAAAAAAATTAACTGGTAATATTTTTTCAAAAACTTACAGCTGGCATCATTATTTTTTCAAAAACGTATTATCAGAGGACTTGCTGTTGGACGAAGTTTATCGTCATATCTAGGACGCGGATGTATTTTATCGTCATACGCCTTTTTGTTTTGTTTATCGTCCTTAGTTGCAATTGCTTTCGCTCTCCACGGATATCTACTGCAATGAATGATATCTAAATCCAAAAGGCTTTTTACTTCTTTCCTTAGAAATGCTTTCTCTTCTCTAGAGTATCTTTGGGATTTCACAGATATAGATCTTCAGTCAGGCGACAGATTTTCAAAAAGAACAGGGAATGAAATCCTCATGCTATTTATTGTATATTAAAAATACTAGCAACACATTTTATATAAATTACGAAGAATACCTTATTTACCAACAATACCTGTTTGTCGTAAAATTTCCAGAAATACATATTTAGAGCAAAATTAGAACAATTCCAATCTATCTTCTGTTAATACTAAAAGTCTGTGTCCGCGTGTTCGCATAAGTTAATCCAATTTAAGTGAATAAGATTTAAAAATACGAGTTGTTTATACAATAAGCATTTTTATTTTAACTTTCTTCAAATGTACAATTTTTTTAATTAAAATATGTGTAAGTTAAAGACAGACGAAAAAGTGATCACACTTTACTGTTTCGTCCAATTTTTGTAGAGTCTAACACTTTCGCCCCGTGCCCCTCAACCTCCGGCGTTTTACTCTTGGGTTTGAGGTGTCTACTCGGTCCCTAACCGAAATTAAGGTAGTGGCCATAGGTCCCATGAGCATCCGTAGATTATTCGACCGCTCCGCTGGTTTAATCCTGCTTGCTGCCCACGTTGTGATTTGTTTGATCCCGAAAGCAGAAGTGATGTCCGTCCATTCACGGTCGACTGAAGATGTAGACACGGCTGGGGACTCTGCAATAAGACATTTAGAATGCAGTAAAATATATATATATATATATATATATATATATAATATATATATATAAACATCGCACAAACAGATTGGTTAAATTGGTAATATCTTTTATATAGCAGAGAAGGAGAGTAGAGAAGAGAAACGGGTTTCAGGAAAAAAAAACAAAAAAAACAAAACAAAACAAAAAAAAACAAAAAAAACATACACTGGATTCTGTACTGAGGGCGAGTGTGATTATCTTGTTGTTAAATCGTCTCAGAACGGTATATGACTCTTGCGATGGAGGGATAAAGATTTCTGTGCGGGGCTTAAAGTTATAGTGGCTTTCCTCCTCCCAACGCTCGCCCGGGTCAATTCTCTCTTCTCTCTTCAAGAATTTTCTCCCGTCTGTCTTTTTTTAGCATAAATACGCGTTTATATAGATAAAATCGGCTGGTTATAACTAACCCTCGGCCCTACTACTTCGCACGCGGTTTTCACGGGGTTCTGGCGGCGTCAACCAAAATCATGTGAATTCAAATGTTCCTTCTAGCTTATTTAGCTCTACTTCAGTTTTTAATTTGATAAAAATTATTTCGATCATTTCCATTGTCTCCTCATGACCCAGATTCAATGGGTACGACTTCTGGCCTATATCAGATTTCCCCATTAGTAAACAAAATGCTCTGATTTAATTTCACCATTCGAATCTACTCCAATTTCACTAAAAAAATATACGTGTGTGCGTGTGTGTGTTTCCCAGATTCTCTCTCTGTCACAAGATTAATTATTTATATTGCAGCTTTCTTTAAACAGACAATATTTTTTTTATTATAAAAATATATATATTTTTGGCATATTTAAAATTATTTTCGAGTGAATATGATTTTAATTTTTTTTATATTAAAATATATTTTAATTAAATATGATGTAAAACATATTTTAATTTAATAAGATTTAAAAATGAGTTGTTTATACAGTAATATAGCTGCATTTTCTACATGTGTTCACATATGCCATAAATAAATGCTGTTATTGGAGTTCAAGTTTGTCCTGGAAGATCTCTTCCTAATAAATGCTGTAAATAATCAGTAAAACTTTAAACATGAACTTGTAAACCTGACCAATGATGGCAGGAATGAATTGAAATATTTAACTGAATTATCATAAAATTAACTTTCATTTCTATGGAATGATTATTTATTTCTGGTTTTATACAGACATTTTCGCACTCATTTCAATGGTATGTTGAAATCAACTTCAATGGTTTTTAACCTAAACCGTCAGTGACACAACGGGTTATGGGTAGTCTTGTTTCTAACTAAAATTACTGACAATTCCTATTTATAGTAAAATTACCAACAATTCCTCTTTCTAGCAAAATTACCACCAATATATATTTATAATAAAATAACCAAGAATACTATTTTAAAACAAAGTGACCAACAATAGTTTTCATATTAAGATACACCAACCATATACTTTATAGTTGAAGAATACAAATAGATTTTTATAGTAATATGACCAACTGCACATTTTATCTGCAGTTGAAGCATGTAATTGCGTACGAAATATATTTACTTGAAGTCATAAAATTGTGTTCAAAATATTTAGATTTTGGCATCAAATAACCCATAGAGGTTGATATGCCGCTAAACAAAATCAACCAACTTACTATATACAAAAAAGGAAAGGCAGTGATAAGACTTCAAAACAAGAAACTCTATTGAAATAGACGAGAAACCGTCTCATTTTGATTATGGTAAGTGAGAGGGTCGGAATTGGGAACAGAAATTTCCCTGCGCAAATTTAGCCAATACGAAAAGCTTATCTCTTTCTCCCAGACAATCCACCGGCCGTCAAACGGAGCCATAATTCTTACAAGCTCCTGATCAGAGACAAGCCGACGAAGGTGGCCGTACCTTGCTCTCCCGATTGATCAACCAATCCAGATAAACAGACACCAGCGCAGATTGTACAATCTCCATTTCCTTTTTTGCATCTCCTTTTTTTTTTCTTATTTTGGCCCATCTTCCAAATTCATTGATTATTCAATGAAGCACTTTCATTTCGGCGCAATTCTTTCGACTTTATTTTAAGATTTTTACTAAAAGCGATACATCGTGGGAACTTGGGAGTTTCAGGATGAGTTTCGCTTTCTGATACAATTTCCGGATTTCCTTCCACATTTTGAAAACAAGCGTGTAAACATTGGTTATTTCTGTTGCTTTGTAGGTAACAAAATATACTCTGGAGTGTGTCAGCGATCTTTAACTTATATATCAGTGTTCTATTTCAATCCTCGAATTTCTGAAAAAGAACAAAAGATGGAAAGAAAAAAGAAAATATCGAAGGAAGATGAAATAAATTTAAAAAGAATTAAATCATTATAATTCTGTATGATACTCTGTTAGTTATTTAGTTAGTCAGTAAGCTAGTTAGCAGTGCCATTAGCTCAGATAAGTGATGGCCGTTCCGTTTTTACCTCGAAAAAGGACAATGAAAAATTATATCGCAAGAACTTTTTGGTTTTAGGGAATAAAAGAAAGGCATAGCAAGCAAGGAATAACGAAAGAAAGAATGAAAACTGAAAAGAAAGAAACAAGATGAAAGAAAAATCAAGAAAGAAACAAAGAAAAATTAAGAAGCAAAATAGAAGGAAATAAAGAAAAAAAAACAGAAAGAAATTAAAAATAAAAGAAGAAAAAGAAACAAACAAAATAAAAAAGAAAAGAAATAAACAAACAAAATAGAAATTAGAAAGAAAGAAAAAGAAAGAAACAAAATGAAAGAAAAGAAATGAATAAAAAATAAAGAAAAATAAAGAAAAAACAAAATAGAAGGAAAGTAAGAAAAAAGAAAGAAAGAAAGAAAGACAAAGTAAAAATAAAGAAATATAAAAAGAAAGAAAAAACAAACAAACAAAATAGAAAGAAAGAAAAGATTGAGTGATGCCATCACGTACTCATGCGTTAAACTACTACTTCGTGTGTAAGGGAAAACCTTTTCAATTTTCAAATTTCATATTTTCATTTCTAAACTCTTAATTTTTAAAAAAGTAATGATCTAATTTCATGCGTATGATTGTTATTGCAATATTTTGTTAAATTTGTCAAGCTCAAGTATTTCCTGCGATGCAAATGGGAAATTTCCATGCTTATGTTATCGTCGTAGAAACAGCAAAAAGCATATTCAAAATGATAATACATCCTAGAATTCAGATAGGAAAACCGTAAAGCATTATCATACTTTCAGTTGATAGAATAAAGAAAACAAAAAGAAACAAATATTGAAAATATTACAGTCAGATATAAAGGGTGATCCAAAAAAAAACGGGAACTTTTTAACAATCCAATAAAACCAAGAGTTAAGGAAGAAAGTATTTTATTCATAGTAATTGAAACCTTAAAACATGCCATTTAAGAAACAATGATGGAATTTTCATTTTTTTAAAAAATAGGTCCTGTAGATGGCGTCCTCCTGTACGAATGCATTCTTGAAATTATCTTCACATTAACTTTCCGTTATTTTTCATTCATTTTTCATTCTTCACAGATTAGCTTCACATTAACTTTCAATCGTTTTTTATTCATTTTTCTTTTTTAATTTTTCATTTTCTTCTAAGTTGCTTTACTGTTTTTCTTCATTTATCTTCTATCACCTGTTTTTATTTATTTATATTTCCTTCGAAAGAGTATTTTTCACAGTTATTCCAGTTTGTTTCTTTTACTTTTTCTTTCATTGCTTTTTTTGTTGTTTAGGTGGGTATCTTTTATTAATCTAATTTCCTTCTTCGTTTCTTTAATATTTATTTCATTTTATTGCAGCAGTCAATGAGGAATCTCAACAGCAGATTTCAAGAATGCATTCGTACAGGAGAACGAGTGAGCAAAATGAAGAATGGATAAAGAGAGAGAAAGAGAGAGAGAGAGAAAGAGAGAGAGAAAGTGAGAGAAAGAGAGAGAGAAATTAAATGAAGGAAGAGACTGGAATGATGAAATCTGTTATCAATGAATGAGAAATGATGGAAAGAAGTAGTGAGTGGACAATAATAATAAGCAACTAAGATGGAAACTTGTGCATGAAAAGAAACGATGAAAATCGTCTTAAAAATGATGATAAAATAAACGAAACGGGAAGCCTAGAAATAAATAAAGGAATGGCTGAGATGAATAAATGTCTGAAAAATTAAGCAAAATGGATAAAATAGAATAGAATGTAAAAGACCAAAGTGAAAATATAAGAGAACGACTCGAAAACAGAAAAATATACAAAGTTTAAAGGAGGAATTGGCTGTCAGTGAACGAACGAAAAATGAATAAAAAATGAAGAAACGAAATCAGGAAAAAGAAAGGTGAGAGAGCAAAAAAGAAAGAAGACATTCAATGAAAATCTCAAGCATTTAACGTCTGCTTCAATGAAAATGCTAAAGCTTCTCAATTTCAAATCATTTCATTTGTAACCGCTTACTTCTTTGAATAATGACATGCATTCATACTTACGATAGATATTGCAATTTTTTGATGTTTCTAAGCTCAGGTATTTAATAATGCAACGGGGGAATATCTACGGGTATTTCAGGGTCTCAAAAATTTCTATTAGTATTTCTTATAATGTTTATTATTAATCCGATCTTGGTAGCTACTTACAATTAATACAGCGTCGTTCGAACACATCTAATTAATAGCAGTTATTAATGAGCCAATGGGAATTCAACATTAATGAGCCAATGGGAATTCAACATTAATGAACCAATGAGAATTCAACATTAATGAACCAATGATAATTCAACGAGTAAATCATGAAAAAAGAAATAACCCTGAAGGAGAACAAAAGTAAAGAAGAACATATGAAAATGGCGAAGGCGTTGGAAACGAATAAAAGGAAATGGTAGGATGAGTGAAGAAAAAGAAGTTAAGAGTAGAAGGTGTCGAGGAGATGAATTGGGAATGGCGGAAAAAGAAAACAAGAGGATGTCGATAGAAGATGGATGCAGAAGAATAAAGGAAAAAAATGTTTATAAAAGAGGAAGAAATAATAATAATAATAATAATAATAATAAGAAGAAGAAGAAGAAGAAGAAGAAGGAGGAGAAGAAGAAGAAGAACAAGAAGAAGGAGAAGAAGAAGAAATCGTAGAAGAGGTAAGTAATAAGACAACGGATGTTAATAGAGAATATGAAGGGGAGGAGCAGGGGGGAATGTAAAAAATAAAAGAAGAAACATGAAGAGAGTAACTATTGAGGAAGAAGAAGAAGAAGAAGAAGAAGAAGAAGAAGAAGAAGAAGAAGAAACAACAACAACAACAACAACAATAATAATAATAATAATAATAATAATAATAATGCAGAGATTAACAGAAAAGGAAAAATAGTCAAAGAAGAAGAAAAATGTAGAAGAAGCATGATTTAAGAAGAGTGAAAGATTTGGCAAAAGGAATAAAAGAAATCGTAGAATAGACAAGGAATAGGAGAACTTACATTTACAGAGAATATAAAGTAGGTGTAGAAGGACGAATGGGTGGGGGAAATGTAAATATAATAGCAGAATCCAAAGAAGAATCCAAAGAAGAAGAAGAAGAAGAAGAATCATGGACACTGATGTCTTCCAGGTGCCACTGTCAGACACTCCGAAAGTACCATTCGTCTTTTTGAAACGCTGGGTAATCAAAACCCTCTTTTGAGAATCAGAAAAAGAATCCAAAGTGCCAAATATTTATTTTGTTTGACAGCAACTCGTCTCCTAGTACCAGACAGATTGCAACACCAGATATTGTACAGAAGCTTTCGCAATCCCGAACATCGAATCACATTTTCAGAAATCAAATCTATCTATCTATCTGATCTATCTTTATCTATCTATATAGATATTATCTAATTCAGAAATCTATCTAATTATATATCTATCTATCTATCTATCTATCTATCTATCTATCTATCTATCTATCTATCTAATTCCAGCTTCTATCTATCTATCTATCTATCTATCTATCTATCTATCTATCTATCTATGCGTATCTATCTATGTGCGTGTGCGCTTGTGCGTGTGCGCTTGTGCGTGTGCGCTTGTGCGTGTGTATTGACTGATTGATTGATTTTCTACTATGGCTTATCAATTATTTTGCAGGTTATTTTAAGCTAGAAAATAGTTTCAGATTGTAAGTACTTTACTTGAGATAATAATAAGTTACTGATATATATATATATATATATATATATATATACATGAATTATTCACACAAAAACTAATGCAAAGGTTAATGATTTAAATGGCGAGACATCCATCATCGCAAACAATTCAAATAATATACAAAAACCTCCGAATCCGTTATGAATGAAATGATCCTTGTTTATATAAATTTCTGCCATATTAGTTCTTATTTTTACTACAAGCTTTCGTCTGTTCCTACAGACATCTTCAGGTATAAAAAAGATGTTGTTCTTGTTTTTCTCTTAGTAATAAGAGGACAACGAAAATATATGTATTGTTGTATCCGAAAATGCTATTGAAAATGAGTTATTGTTTTTGGAGCGCGCAGAGAAACACTAATATTCCACGGTTATAATTTATTACATGGAATCTTAATCACGATCCAATTCATCAGACCTACAAATTCAAAAAGAAATCTGAAACTGATTTTATTTTTTCTACCCGGAGTTATATTTTCAGATTTCTTTTTTGAATTCGTAGGTCTGATGAATTGGATCGTGATTAAGATTCCATGTAATAAATTATAACCGTGGAATATTAGTGTTTGAGCCTTTTATATTAAATTCTTACTCTGTTCTGGACATTGAATTCTACCTGGTTTCTATCCACTTGGGAATTATATATATATATATTGACCACTAATATCAATATATATATATATATATATATATATATATATATATATATATATATATCAATATATATATATATATATATATATATATATATATATATATATAATTACAATTATAGTGTGAAACCTCAAATACAGCCAGTCAGTGGAAGACTGAAAGAAAAAAAAACATTTAAGGTAAGCAGTCTTTGGTGTAAAGTAGTCGTTATTAGAGATAGAACATTAATAAGATTAATACAATTATAAATTTTGTCACTTAGATGATTGATGTTACCTTCAGCATACCGTCTCTAGAGTTTAGTAGAAGGATCCTCCAAAAATCACTGCGTCCATTCCCCAGGGGACATTGTTGGTATCACTTGACGATCATCGAGATGCTGAAACATCAATAAGCTAAGTGACAACTTTTATATTTTCTATTAATCTATATATATATATATATATATATATATATATATATATATATATATATATATATATATATATATATATATTTATAAAAGTCCCTTAGAGAACGAAACGCGTCGGCTATGAATAACTTTTCTTCTTGTCTTTTTCTTCATTCATTCAACTATAAATAACGCAGTAATATTTTTTACGTTTTAATCCGAGCATGACTATGATATTATAACATAGAGGAAAACATTCCATAATGGATAATTCTTTTCACTTTCTAATGAACTCTCTGAACATAGTCAACCGTTTGCATTTAAAAGCATAATGTAAAATTACGGTAATGGATTAATGTAAAATTACGGTAACGCACATATTCCTCTGAACAATATATAGTTTTCTTCTACTTGCGCCCCTGAAGATGATCTTAGAAGAAAATCGAAAGTACTTGGGAAATGAAAATAAAATTTAAACATTTATAGCACATTTTTCTCGTCCTTTAATATCAATACACAGAAGGTTATTCGTGGGCATGAACGAATTTTATTAAAAATTGGCAGACATAAAGTCTGTAATTTATTCAATCAAACATGCCTAAAAGAGAACTTGCTGCCTAAATACATAAATAAAAATAATTGTTGGACTTTGTCTATTTCATAATGTGTGACGTCATTTGTTTACATTTGAATACGCTTAGAGCAGATATGAATGTACGTGTGAGATTCATGAAAGATTGAAGTTTAAAAGCAGTAAAATCGACCTTGCGAATCGAACGATTCTCCGTGGCACGATCGGTTAAGGCACGTCGGGCTATATGACGGTTCCGTATAGGATACAGGTTCGATTCCTGTCGGAGGACGAATATATTCTATGAAAATTTCTCGGACATTCAGGCCGGTAAATGTTATTAATACTGTTTATTATAAAGCAGAGCTTTTACTTAAATATTTGTATCTATAAAAAGAATGTATGAACATAAAAATGTCTTTATATATATAATATTATCATTCTTCTTCTATGTGTTATGTCCCCTTCGGACGTAACCGATGATGACTCTCCACAATTTCCTCTCCTTCGTAGCTCTTAAGAAATTTTATCTTTTTGTTACCTCCCCTAAACCTTGTTCAACTCCCTAAGTACGTTTGCTTTTTTCCACCTACCCGCTTGCATTCAATTCTTCCTGTGAGTATCAAATTTTTCAAGCGTTCTTTCCTCGTTATGTGCATAATTTATGAAAAATACCCAAAGATGTTCCACACAAACAATAGAAAATAAACGATCATAATCATTACCACCATCATCATCATATTTATAAGTTTCCGCATCATTTCCATGAGAGAATATGGTTATAGGGTCATCGCGCAGCTGATCACGTCCGCAATTCCCTTGAAATTTGAAAGTTGGAGATGTACTCACTGATGCTTATAGAGTCTTAGGCAAGTAGTCTTAACAGAGATCACTCCTTTCCCAGTTAAAGCATATCGGATGTCTCCTAAACTGAAGCATCGCCTTGGTTGGCGACAAACATTAACAAATACAGTATTCAAAAATTGAAACAGACATAAGACTAACGCCATTATACAAGTGACTTCTACGTACCTTTTTGATTCGCTGTTTTTATCAGGAAATCTTACGAATCAAAAAATATATATTATTCTACCCACTAACTATATCACAACTAAACCAAAAAGAATTTATCTAATTCAATATAAAATTTGTCATAAATACCTCTAAAACAACCAAAGACTTAATTAATAAATAACAAAAAAAATAAGCCAATAAGGAACTTACTCTACCATGTGCAGGAATTGCCAGAATGAATACATTGGAAAAACCTCAAGAAGTTTAAACAAAAGACTATATGAACACAAAATGGACATCTTAAAAAATAACACACAAATTGTATTGATTGTTCACCGTAACGAAACGGACCACAATTTTGATATGTTTGGAAAGTGTCTTCATCGCTTGATCAGCCAAGGTAAAGTTGGGTCCAGGCTCTCACAATTTATCAACATGCTTGGTAGATTTTCTGTTGTTATAATGTTGGTTAGTCAAGGACAAAGGTAATGGAGAGATAAAGAAATAGAATATAAATGAATTTGGCTAGATTTAAAAAAAATATTCTTTCGAAATATTCTTTCAAAAATGTTGAAACTACCAACGTCTCTCGTTTTGTGCGCATGTGTAGACGTGGCAACATAAACAAAACACAGTGCGATGAAATCATAACGGAAGGAACGTGTATAGATTGAGAATAATTTATCCAAAATTCTTGGAACCAGAAGATATTCAGTTTTTAGTTTTTTTAGAATTTTGGAATACAGGCTGTTTTTAATTTGTTTATAACATCTCTAAAATGAGTCACCATAGGAATGGAAGGCGAACATAAACATGATATCGCTTTAAATTTCATAACATAGCATATATGTATAGTATGAAATAAATACCATATAACCTGAAACAATATTCAAATAAAATTAAATAAATTTTGTGTAAATACCGATACAGGTAATGAAACTAGTCATTTAATATTCACATTTTGAAACAACGTTTTGTACTTTCTGTATGTGTACAAAAAAATATGATCACTACTTACAAAATATAAATTCTACGCAAAAAAAAACGACTTCCACATCAGGTGTGACGAACAGGAGAGTGATGGTACATCATCGATGACATCACTGTGAGTGTAAGAAGAAAAATTCGGTAAGCTATCAGACTCTACCAATGTTGTCGTGCTTTGATTAAAATGTTACAATGCAAACAACTACAGTA